GGAGCATGTGGGAGACGATTGCGCCCCTTCCTTCACGGGGCTCTTGCTGCACCCCAACATTTAGGAAGCCACTTCGGGAGGCCGCTTGCCATTTTAATCGGAAGCGGAGCCCGTGCTTTGTCTGGCTGGAGGCCTCAGGCGAAACTCGGGGTGTTCTGGGGGCCAGGTGAAGCGGGGGGAGCTCAGTCTCTGGCAGGCACCCACCGCCCATGCTGCGGCCGTGCCCCGTGACGGTCGCTGGGCGTTCCTCTGTGCTCTGCCCGCCGGCCTGCCTGGGACGCCCCCGCCTCGTCCTGACCCGGTTTCGATCCCCCCGAGTAGACGGCACAGCCAGGGGGGTGTGGCCTCTGCGTCCCAAGGGCACGGCTGCATGTCCGCCTTGGCATGGGGGGCCGGGCCTCTTCCCTGCGTGGACAGTCTGGCCCCCTCCCCCTCCGCCCTTCATCTGCAGAGTCTTGCCCCCGGGCCCAGCCCCCCCTTCCCGCTGGCACCTCCGGAGGCACCTGGCCTGCCCTTGGCCGGGCCCCGGCTCCTCTGCCCTCGTCCTCGCGAGTCTTTCTCGCTCTTCTTCTCGGGCTCTTCGGACCCCATGCGCCTCCAAGCCCCCCTTTTTCCAGAGCACTTTCTTCCTTTTTTTTAGAATGGGGAACAGTGAGTATCATTTTGGAATGGGGGAAATGAGGCCGTTCCACCTCAGCGCAGCTCGCCTGGGGGTCACGCGGAGGAAAAGCAGGGCGTGGAATGTGGGCGTCTTGCGAGAGCACCGGGCGCCCTTGCGGATCACGGCGCTGCAGCCACACGAAAGGAGCCGCAGCGACGGGAGGCCCTTTGGGCACTGAGAGCGGCACCTTTGCGCAGGTTCCTTTCCTGGGGTTCTCCCCCCCAATGCATTCCACGACACAGCCACTAGGGGGCGATGTGTTGCAGCGGGATGGCGCCACAGGTGAGTTACCTGTCTCCCCAATTTCCTAGTCAGGCTGCCTTCTCCTTTCCAGGTAACCGATTTTCCCCTTTTTGCTCAGGTAGCAAGTTCTTTCCCAGAGAGGAGAGGTCTTCAGAGTACTGGAGAACGGAGAAGAGAGATGCTCAAGACAGTTTACGGGAAGGAAACCTCTTCTTCCTCTGGTGTCTCTGTTTGCTCCCAAAAGGACACAGGTGCAAGAGTCGTCATTTCTCTTCACAGGGCGCCTGTGTGGGGAGGGGAGTGCAGAATTTCTGGAACTGCGAAATGATGCTTCTTGAACGCCGCCACCACCTGGGCGATTAAAAACACCTGTCCTTGCACCTCGCCTTTCCGAGTCCTCCCCTGTGCCCGTCAAGCGCCTGTCCAGTCTCGTCTGTTCTGCACCTGCTTTGGCTCCACCGAGCTTCGCTATGGGCGTGATGCAGAGTGTGACGAATCCAGTCCACCTGCGTCAGGTGTCCTCCTTCTTTAGTGTGCTCTTTGACTGAATCGGATATTTTGGGGGGATGTACAAGGATTCTGTTCTTGTTTGCATGAGTGCAAGTGCAGAGCTGGACAAGTCTCCCCCCGCCCCCAGGTGTGTGTCTCCCCAAGCAAAAAAACACTGAACCCTGTGACTTGGAAAAACCTGGCCCACTGCAGAATCTAATCTGTCGGTTGGATTCACAGATCCAAACTCATCTGAATCCGTCATTAATTTCCCTGACCTTCAGGCCCAGCGAGTGAACAAGAGCCCAGGAAAAGAGCCGCTCGGGCGTCAGAAGTCTGGGACAGGAAGTGCGGGGGTGAAAACACGCCGGTCCTTTCCCTCTCCCTCTTGAGCGAGGATTGCAGCCCCTCGCCCTTCCTGCCTGGGGTTTAAATAGCTTACAAGAGCTGGCGAGCTGGGCAGCAAATATCTGCTGAATCTAAGAAAGGTCAGCAAAAGATCAGCACATCCGTGGCTCGACCGCAGAAGGAAAACAGCAGTGCTCGCCTGCTTTGAATTAAGTGCCTCAGGATGCGTCGCCCCAGCGCTCTCCCCCAGCCTGCGGCCCTCCTGGGGCACGCTGGGCTGGCCGCCTGGAGGGGGCCAGTTTGGAGAGCCAGCCTGGCTGGGGGCCCGTCTCCCGGCCCCTTCCAGAGCCAGTCCCTGGTTGTGAAGGGGGCGCTCACACGCTAAAAGTAACAATGCAGGACCCTGCTACTCAAGAGCTACTCTTGATGGACTTTGGTGGCGGAGTAAGAGTCAAACTGGGTGGCAACTGGGAGGGGTCTGCGATGAGCCCCCCGTTGTGTCGTTCTGTCACTCTTTGTGGAGAGTGGAAAAGCGCGGCCGATCCGTCCTCATTCCGATCCCTGGGGGGTGGGCGAGAGGCAGCCCCCGCGGCGCAGCTCCGGGACTGCAGCCTCCCCGGCAGGGAGCGAGGCGGACGCCGCTTCTCTGCCCTCCTGCCGGTGTGAATCCCCCCTCCGCTCGAGCGGCTTTGTGCTGTGCCAATGTTTTGTTCCAGTGCTTTTAGGGGTGGGTGAAAGGCAGCGTGGGAAACTGGGGGGAGTGGGGAGAGGGCCACGCACTTGCCACAGCCCTGTGCTCCCCCCGGCCCACCCCCTCAAAATATTAGCCTCCCAAGGCTGCTTTTCAAGCGATCCTCTGGAGCGCCACTCAACGTATCACACATAACCTTCTTGCTTGACTTTCAAGATTGCCGGGAATGCAGGGAAGTCCTGTGCCCAAGAGCTGAGCTGGCCGTGGCACCGAAAGCCGTAAGGGCCCCGTTCCTGGTGGGCGTTGCGTGTCCCGGCTCAGTCGTCAACCCCAAGGGGACAGACTGCATGTGAGGAAGAGGACCCAGAAAAGCCACACGGGTTCGAGGGCGTCCCACTGGAGTCCACGTGGGGCCCAGGGGGTCCACGCTCTCGTGCCGCCAGTCTCCCTGCCCGGGCGTGCGAGCTGCTGATCCGGGCAGCGGACCTCCCTGGCGCTCCATCCTGCGCCGGCTGAATTTCCCAGGCCCCACTGCAGGGAAGAGCCTCGCCTGATCCGGGCAGCTCAGTTCTGGGCCACAGCGAGCGGCTTGGGGTCTCGTCCATGTCGCTGCTGGGGGGATCAGCCGCTTCTCCCAAGTGCGGTGAGCGTGCCCCAGAAGATCAGAGCGTCGTCACATGAGGGACCCTGGGTGGGAGCCTGCAGAGACGGTGGCCGCCTTTTAAAGGGCGACATGAAGGATGCACCTGCACCTCCGGCACCATAAAGACAGAATGGGGGCTGTGATGGGGGGCTCGATCCACCCCATTCTAACAGTTGGGCAGAAGAGGGGCTGCCGGCTGGAAGCACTGGCTTGCCCTGCGATGCCCCCTCCCCGCCGGCTCCCCAGGGCGGTCCGGGAGCCACGCCACACAGCTCTGTTCAGAGGTTTATTGGCTGGTCTGCATTATACACACTTCCGCACGTACAGGGAGGGGGGCGCAGGCGTGCGCCGAGGGGAAGCGCATACGTGATGCACGCAGCCCGTGCACAGCTCTCAAATTCCGGATGGTGCTCTGTGGCTGCAGGGGCCGTGGGGGGTGGCTCTGCCGGCCCCCGAGCGGGACCATCACTCCGGCCACCCCCGGCCAGCGCGGCAGAGGCGCACGCTGACCCTTCCGTGCGGCCGCGGCGAGGGGCGGCCAGCTCCGAAGCGGTGCTGCCTGGACAGGCGGAGGCTGCAGGAGCCCCCAGGGACCTCCCATCCGGGACTCGGGCCGGCAGCCACACCCGGAAGGGCTCGGCCACGGGGACACCCCGCCTGCCTGCGCACAGGGCGCTCCTGCGGCGTCTCGGGACCGGCGCTGGCGGAGGGCCGTCCCTCCGTGCCCTGCAGGCTGCCGGGCTTCGTGCGTCCTTGGCACGGGCCCCCAGCACAGGGAAGGCCCGTCTTGACGGCCATGGGGCGTGGGCCTCGCAAAAGCTGGCCTGCTGGGAGCTCCATGGGGCAGATTCAGGGAACCCGAACGCCCTTCAGTGCGGAGCGGCTCCTCCGGGACCCCTCGCGAGCCACGCCGCGCCCCGTGCCGGGGCGGCTGCAGGGTTCCAGGGCGGGTGCTCCTTCCTCTGGCCAGAGGAGCCGGACTGAAGCCGAGCCCCCCTCCCCGAGCGGGCACCCCCTTCCAGAACACACTCCCCCAGCCGAGGCAGCGCCTGCCCCCCGCAAATCCACTGGGGCGGCCACACGCCTGCCTGCAGCTCCTGAGCTTCTGGCGCGTCCTCGCGCAGAGTCCGTCGAGCCAGTGCTGCCCGCTCGGACTGGCAGCCGCCCTCCAGGGCCTCATGCAGAGCAACAGCGCCTGCCCCACTCGGCTGCCTTCTGTGGGGAAGCCGGGCCTGGCCGGCGACGGAGGGAAGCATTCCGGGGGCCGAGTGGGGGGCTGCCACTGACACCGCGGGGCCGCCCCACCGCCCCCACCTGTCCCTGCAAGGACCTGCTGCTGTGGGCGCCCAGGTGCCCGTGTCTCAACAGGGTCAGAAGCGGGGCAGCGGCAGCCGCGGGGGGGGGGGGGGCTTCCCGTGGAAACCACGGGCAGGACCAGCTTCCACGGTGTGTCAGGCTGTCATGTAAGGCGCAGAATCAGGCCAGGGTTCCACGGCACACGGGCACGGGGGGACGCAGGCTGAGTGGGTGCCCCCCTTCACGGCCGCCCCCCCCACAGGTTCGCTAGTGTTTCCCTGCACGGCGCAGCCCTCCGAAGGGAGGGGAAGGGACATGGGGGGGACGCGACTGGCCAGGTGCGGGGTGGGGGGACCGAGAAGGTGCTTGAAGTGAGGTGGGCGGAGAGAGCCAGCAGCAGCTCGGAGCCTCTGAGCTCCCCCAGGGCAGGGAACCCCGACCCGACTGGAACGATGCCCTGAACCACCTCGGAGCTGGACGGTGTGGGACGCCCGCGGCCGGCCGGGACGGGGACGCCGCCCCGGCCCTCCATGGGGCGCAGGCAGGGGCAGGCGCCAGCAGCAGAGACCGCCCGATCGCCCCCCCCCCGCGTCCACCATGGCGTCTTGCGCAGGGCAAGCGGAAGCAGCTCACATTCCTGGGGGCCCCGGGGGGCCCGGAAGCCCCGGCCGACCTCGGATCCCGGGGTCCCCCTTTGGCCCCGTCAGCCCAATGGGGCCCGGCGGCCCTGGCTTGCCTGGGCTGCCGGGCTTCCCCGGTGGCCCCTGTGGCCCGGCGGGCCCCGGCACCCCCTCGGGCCCCGGCGGTCCCACGTCCCCCTTCGGCCCCACCTGGCCTTTGGGCCCACTTTGCCCAAAGTTGCCCTTGGTGCCCTTGAATCCGGGGGGGCCCCTCGTGCCCGCAGAGCCTCTTTCGCCCTGTGGCCCCGGGACGCCTGGAGAGCCTCGGGCCCCCTGGGGCCCGGGAGGGCCCAGGCCCCCAGGGTCGCCTTTCTGTCCTCTGCTTCCAGGAAGACCCTTTATGCCGAGGTCTCCTCTGACTCCTCTGGGGCCTGGGGGGCCGGGAACGCCTGGGGAGGAAGAAAGAGCAACATTATACGACCGGAGAGCATGCAATTCTATCCAGGGATAGGTGGTGAGGCAGTATGGTCTAGTGGTGAGAGTGGGGTCCCACATGCCCATGATGTTCCCTGGGGGACGTTGGGCCCATCATTCGCTCTCAGCCTGCCACACCGCTCGCAGGGTTGTTGTGCACACGAAATGGAGCGGGGGGGGGCACCTCGGAAGCCGCCTTGCCAGAGGAAAAGTCAGGCCGTGGATGGGATGACATTCTCCAAAAAATGTCGTTTGCAGGTGAGGCCACGGCAGGAGGGAGGGGGAAGCGAGGCGGCGCCAGGAATCGGTGCTCAGTGCTCAGGAGCGGGGGGGGGGGCTCACGCTTCCTCGCGCAGCCCCTCCCCTGACTACGGAGCCCACGTCCTGCCTGAAATCCCGGGGGGGCCTTCAAAGGGCTGTTGTCCTTAATCCACCTGGCCTCCGCAGCGGAAAACCTGAGCCGGCGCTGCGCCTCGCCTTCGACCGCGCCCGGCACTGCGGCTGCCAGCCGATCTCGAAGGGGCGGCCGGAGGGGAGGCGGAGGGCCTCCAGCGGCCCCCTCCCTGCCGTTCCCGGGCACCGCAGGGCACCTTTCCGGAGACGCTGAGCCCCCCAGAACGGGCTCTCCCCACGGTGATCCCACTGCTTCCCCGGACGGGGTGGGGCGGGGGAGGCCCCGCTCCACAGACAGCTTGACGCGCGCCAGCCCTGGTGCTCGCCCGCCCGGCAAGGAAAGCTGCCAGCGGTGGCCGCCAGCCTGCCCGCCCGGCCCCCCCCAGGCCCCCGTCCTGCACTCTCCCTGCCACGCTGCACTGGCTGGACCTGCCCCCCGCTTGCACTGAAGGCCAGAATCCGGACCGAAGTAGAGGTGGGGGTGCTCCGAGCACGTGCAGAGTAGCCCTCCCTGCTGACCGGTCCTCGCCCACTTCCGGGCATCGGGAGCACAGGTCCTGGGGGCTTTGCAGTGGCTGCAGCATGTGACCCCCAGCGCTCCCCACCATTCCCAAGCCCCCTGCAGCAACCCCCGCCCCCCCCCCCCCCCCGAAGCCCCTTGGCTGCCCACTCCCCCCTGGCCTGTCCCTGCGAGCGCACGCCAGCCCCTTCCTCTGGCTAGCGTGGTGCTGGCTCTGCCCCGTGACACCTGAGCAGGAGGGACCCAGACCTTTCCCACGGCCAGCAGGGGGCAGGTCTGGCCAGGACCCCCGCTCTTCCTCTGCGCCCCCCCCCCCCCCCCCGGATGCACAGACACACACTAGCTCATGAGTTGGTGCCGTGCATGTGGGGACCACTCGCCCGCGTGTGGGGGCATTTCTGGACGTGCGTCCCGGGGCATGTGACTGGGGGGCGTTCGGCACGGGGCCCAGTGGGAGGCTGGGCCGGCCACAGGCCCTCAGCCCAGCCTCCCTCGCAGGGGGGTTGTTGTGAGGACAGGACTGGGAACAGCCGCATCGAGCACTCAGGAAGAGAAACGACGGGCTGTGAGCCCAAGAAGTGCAGGAACGACGGGCAGGAGGAGACCCGTCCCGGGGCGCACGAGCCGCCGGGCTGCGCCAGCACAGGGCCTTCCCCGCGGGTGGCGCCCGCCACGGCGACGCCGGCCGGCCCCGATTCGGCCGAATGCTGGCTGGCATCTGTTCTGTGCGGCGGTCGCTCGCTCGGGCCTGGGAACGCGGCACCGAAGGCCTGCCGGGGACACGCCTCGCGGAGGCACGCCGTGTGGCCGTGGCCAGTGGCCGAGTCGGCTCGTCGGGGCGGTCGGAACAGGCCTGGGAAGCCACGGCGGGTTTCAGAGCTCGGAGAGCTGGCAGGTGCTGTGGAGAAGCAGCGCGGCTGGGATTCGTCCCTCCACCCAAGGAGCCTGACGCGCGAGGTGCCTTTTAAGCTGCCCCACGGAGGAACGCCCACAGCAGGGATGCTGCAAGACGGGAGCCCGGGGGGGTCCTGCCACGGACTCTCCCTCCCGCTCTCCCTTGGGGCTCGCGAGGGCCCAGCGGTGCCCCAGAGCGGCTTGTCGGCCGCTCAAGCGCTTTGCAGCGGGCCATCTTCACTGGGGAGCGGAGGGTTAACTCTCCTCCCACACGCTGCTTTTCCCTTGAAAAGCAAACAAACAAAAGTAAAACCAACCCTCCCCTTGCAGGGCAGTCAATCTTAACCGAAGCTGCTTTCCCATTGGCTCAGTGTGCAAACTAATGGAAAATAAATGGTTTGAGATGACTGGGGCGATCATTAATTAATTAATGATGAATGGCCCGTTTTCGGAGGGGGAGTTTCATTCCCAGGCTGCGCTGGTTAAAGCGGACCGTGAGCCGAGAGGAGCCCCGCGCCACAGTCCCACGGCGGAGGCCGGGCCCGCACCACGGGCGCCACCGCAGCCAAGCCTCCGTGGAGGGAGGCGCTTCCCCGGAGCCCCCGGCCTCCCCCCGCCCCGCGGTGCTCACCGCGCAAGACGGTGACGTTCCGCAGGATCTCCCCGTGCCGGGTGTCGACGGCCTTCATCTCCTCCATGACCATGGAGAGGTTGCGGATGTCGAAGTTCAGCCGGGCGCTCAGCAGGCCGAAGCGTTCCCGCAGGAGGTCCGTGGTGCTCAGCATGAGGCCGACCGACTTGTTCAGGTGGTACAGCTCCTCGGCGTGGACGTGGAAGCCCAGCGTGCACGACAGCCGCACGTCGTCCAGGTACTTCAGCATGCTGTGCACGTGGCTGTCGGTGGCGTTGATGTTCGTGAAGATGGTGTTGATCTCGATCTCGTGGGACGCCATGCGGCCCTCCAAGGTCTCGAAGCGCTCGGCGGTCCGGTTCTGCGTGTACCGGGCGTGGTACTGCAGGTCGTGCATGTTCTCCTCGTGGTCGTCCAGGAAGGAGGAGACGTTGTCCAGCTGCAGCTGCAGGCTCATCACCTGGAGGACCAGGTCGTGCATCCCCTCCGAGTTCTGGCCGATCCGCTGGGAGGCGATGCCCAGACTGGACTGGATGCTCTTGACCACCTCGCTGGTCTTGGAGGACGTCGCCCGCAGGCTCCCGAAGAGGCGGGTGTAGTTCTGCCACTCGGCCACGATCCGCTGCAGGGTCAGCGTCTCTTCGGTGGTCTTCCTCTGGATGACGAGCGCCCAGTCCGAGGTCTGCCCGATGGTGAAGTTCATCTGCTCCATGACGGCCGCCACGTCGAAGTGCTCCTGCGACAGCGCCTTCAGCGAGCGGCCCAGCTCGGCGGTGGCCGCTTGCCAGCCTCGCACCTGGGCCAGGAAGAGGCCCAGGCTCTGGTTGACCTGCTGGATGGCGGAGACGCAGCCGTCCACCTCGCCCGCGATCCTGTCGCTCGCGGAGGACAGCTGCTGGTGGGCTTGCCCGGCCCGGTCCAGCAGCACTTCCTGGGCCAGCAGCTTCTTCTGGACCTCCTCCAGCTCCTCCTGCAGCTTGCCGATTTCCTGGCCGAGCAGGCCCGTGTCGTGGCAGAAGGAGCAGTTGGCCACAGATTTCTCGTCTGGACGAGGAAGAGAAGCGCCGTGGCAGGGTCACGCCCGGTCGAAGCACAGCGGGCCCCGAGCCAGGGGCCGGCCACCCCCCCGTCCCTCCCAAGGACTGCTGGTGTGGAGGACACGGTCAGCAGAGGGGGGGCTGTGCATCTCTGCCCACCGAGCGTGGTGAACGCGAGCCGCAGAATCCGACGGGAGAGCAGCAGTTCCTGGAGTCTGGAAGGGGCCAGAGGGCCCCAGCCCCCCCCCCCGGGGCAGGCCTCCCAGCTAAACGTCAGCCCCCTCTCTTATCTTGGATGCCTCGGGGGAGACCCCACCACCTCCCTGGGCCATGGGGTCCCTTGTGGGGAAGTCCCGCCCTCCCGGGGCTGGTGGGCTGCAACTTGACAGCAACACGGGAGCGCAAAGCCAGAGCACCCGGGTCGGTCCCTGGCGTCTCCAGCCAGAGCCTGGCCGGAGGAGCCACCGCGGCCCCGGGCTCCACAGGCCAGGGGGCCCGCTCAGTCCGCGGCTGCTCCGAGGCGCCTGGCTTGGGCTCTGGCCGAGCAGCAGAAGGACGTTGGGACCCTTAGAGCGGTTCGGCAAAGGAGCTGTGGCCCAGGGAGGCGGTGGGCTCCCGACCCGGAGGCCTCCGAGGGGACGGCTGACCTGGGAGCCCCGCACTGAGCGGGGGTCGGGCCCTCTGGCCCCTCCCGGCTCTGCTCGTCCAGGATTCTGGGGTCCCCTCAGCCCCGGCCAGCCTAGAGCTGTCCACAGGGCCAGTGGGGCAGGGGGCAGGCACTGGCGGGGGGCCTGGAGCGGGAGCCCCCCAGCACTGGGGCCCTGCTCCAGGCTCACGGAAGCAGAGAAACAGGGCGAGCTGGAAGGGCCCCCAGGCCATCTGGTCTGACCCCCGGCTCCAGCCGGCTCCACTCATGTCATCCCCAACATGTGGGTGCCCCATCTTTCCTTGAAGCCCCTCACTGGTGGGGCCTCAACCTCCCTTGGAAGCCCATTCCATACCCTGGGGGTCCCAACCGCCAGCAAGTCCTTCCTGGCATCCAAGCTGAAGCCCGGTTCCTCAGGCTTTGCCCCATCAGAATACATCCCATCCTCCGCTGCAGGGGAGAACAGCTCAGGGCCCTGCCCCACAGGACACCCCCTCGCACCCCCAGAAGCCGCTAACAGGCCCCCTTGGGGTCTCCCCTCCTCCAGCTGGAGAGACCCCGCTCCCCCCACTCTCCTCCCAGGCCAGCCCTCCCAGCCCGGCTCCCATTCCTGTGCCCTGCGCTGGGCCGACCCCGACCTGGCTGCGTCTCTCCCACGACGGGGAGCCCAGCACTGGCCACGGTACCCCAGGGGAGGGTGCGCCAGTGCCACCCAGAGCAGTCCTGACACCCCCTCGACCCGGAAGCCACGCTCCTGGCCAGGCGTCCGCGGGTGGCGTTTGCCCTCTTGGCCGCCGCACCACATGGCTGGCTCACGCTCGGTCTTCTGTGACAAGGAGGGCAAGATCCTTCCACAGCGCTGCTCTCCCCCCACTCGCCCCCCAGCCTGTGCCCGTGACACCCACTCCTGGGCCCCACGTGCAAGACCTGGCACTTGTGCACGCTGAAGGCCACCCTGCCCTGGCTTCCCTGCCCCACTGCACCATCCAGGAGAAAACAACAGTGACGATGATGATGAAGCAGAAGGAGAAGGAGAAGCAGAAGATGAATTCCCTCTGAAACAGGAGCCCCTCCAGGTCAGTCCTGGCCGGGCCCATTCCACTTGTTTCCACGGGGAAAATTCCTGGCCGAGCGCGCCCCCCGCCCCCTGGCTCCGGTGCGCGATGCCAAGAAGCCCTTGTTCTGGGCGGTGCCCGCTGGCCAGCCATCCCGGCACACCCGCGAAGGCCCCGCTCCAGCGAGCCGGCCGGGGACGGAGCTGCGGGGACGGGTCCCACCGCAGCCTGGGTCCCCAGGAGGGCCCCCGGATGGGAGTCCTAAGCACCGCTCGGGCACAAGCCGCTGCTCTTGCTTCGGGGTGCATGTGTCAAGGGTTGCAGATGCTTCCCTCCCTCCTCCTCCTCCTCCTGTTTTCCAGCAGCCAGCGAGTGAGTCAGGGCCGTGTGTGTGTGTGTGTGTGTGTGTGTGTGTGTGTGTGTGTGTATTACTCACAGGCAGCTGTCAAGTTGGCCGGGCCGCCGCTGACTTGACGAGAACTGACCACAATCTGCTGACTGCCCAGAAACGCTCACGCCCTCTGGAAAGAGGCGCTCGCTGCCGCCTGGCGGGCCAGGGCAGGACCAGGTGCCACCCACTCCTGGCATGTCGCCCCCCTTTCCTCCTCCGTCCCCTCTTGGAGGAGCCCCTGCCAGTTCTGCTAAAGTTGGCCTTGACGCAAGGCAGGACCCGGCCACGGCGTGGGCCCCCCGCCAGCTTCTGCGGCCCCCGCTCTCCGGCCACCGCCACTGCCCCGCCCGGCTGCCCAGCAGACCTGTGCCCCCGCACCTTGCCCAATGCCGAGCCCGCTGGGGGCCCCAGACGCACCCCACCCCGCCAGAATCCCCATCCGAGACCTCCCCGCCAGGAGCAGGCCAAGGCAGGCTGCTCGGTGGTGGCCCCGCAGCCGTTCCCATGTGCCGCCGCCCTTCCGTGCCCGGGGGAAGCCCACAGCGTGCGGCCCGAGCTCACCCAGCTCCTGCAGGTTCTCCTGGACAGACGCGATCTTCTTCCGGTAGAACACCTGGGCCGAGCTGACGTCATCCGCGATGGAGTTCACCTTCTTGAAGACTGCGCAGGAGAGAGAGGAGGTGAGCGCGCCCCGGGGCCTCCCGTGCGGCTGCCGCTTCGGAGTCATGCACTGAGCGCGAGACGCTGGGGCAGGACTTCCCCCGTGCTGGGGGGGGGGGCAGGTGCCCCTAGGAACGCCTTGTGTGCTCCCCATTTCATTGAACCCGCGTGCTCAGGCTGGTGGCTTGGACGGGCGGGTCGGCCGTGGATCCAGCCTGGGTTGCCCTGGCAGAGTTTCCAAGCACTTCCTTGGTTCGGGAAATGCCCCCGAGGAAGAGGGGCTGGCGAGACCCTCCTCCCGGCAAGGAGAGCCCTTTGGGCAAGGGGCAGACCCCTCCCCACCCACACCCCACAGTCGCTTGCTGGGGGCTCACAGGGCGCCTGTGCAGGACACGCTGGCCGGCTCGAGGGGCCGCCCCCTGGCCCCTGCTGCCATGTCTTGCGACACCGACAGCAGCAGCCCGTGGGCCTGCTCGTCTGTAGGGCACCACACGGGCCCCTGCCGGGCAGCTTCTGGCTGAGCCGGGGCGGATGCTTCCCGAGAAAGGCTTCTGCAGGCCGGCCGAGGCAGCGGGGCAGGGAACGCTTGCCTGGAAGCCCCAGCAGCGCCGCGGGTGGAGGGCGGGTGCCGCAAGCATCCCCGGGATCCGGCCTCCGGCTGTCTCCCGGGGGCCTCAGCCCCTCCTGCTGGAGGGCTGAAGGCTGAGCCGTGCCTCTTCCCGCCGGCCAGCGGAGCTGCAGGGGCCAACCCTGCCTAGCCATGCCATGCCGTCCCCTGAAGGCGCGTTTTGCAAAAGGCCCCCCTGGCCTCCTGCCACGGGAGGGGCCCCCGCTCCGTGGCCGTGCCCCTCTGTGCAGGCTGCAGGGCCCAGGTCGGACCCCCGGCCGGCAGAGCCATTCCTGCCCGTCTGGGTCAGCGGTGCTGTGCGGAACAAGCGGAGGCTCTGCTGGGGGGCTGGGAAACGCCTGCCCCTTCTGCCTCTTCCTCTGTGGTGACCCACAGCAGAGCGTTTCACGGGAAAGGAGGCACCGGCTTGCAACCGGAGAGGGGCCCGGACGGCCCGCAGCCCGGCACCGCCTCGCAAGAGCCCCAGGACGCTGAGCTGCACCATTCCAGCCCGCGGCAGAAAGCGGCCTGTGCCCCGTGCCCCCCGCTCTGTGGCCCCCCTGCCCCAGAACTGCACGACAGATCCCACCGCCTGGCAGGAGCCCGCGACCCGCGTTCGGGCCGGATGCTCAGCGGGCCCCGTCCAGCGCCCCGAAGCAAGCCCTGGGCCCGACGGCCTGCCTTCGCGGCCCCTTCCCGCTCTCCTGCTCCGCTCCGTGGTCCTGCCTGCCGAAGGACGCGAGAGCCTCGTCTCCGCGCCACCCGGCGAGGCTGTGGGAGCCGTGGGCCCCAGGAAGCCGCGGCTGCAGCCACGGCCCGTGACGTGCAGCTTCCGCGGGACCCAGTGCTTCCAGCCTGCACAGATCCTGCCCCACGTGCAGAGTCCTTCCCCAAGGGGCCACACGCACCCCAAAGTGTGGCTGCTCGTTCGCTCCTGCAGAAACCCGGTTCCCCTTAGGAAGCGCTCTCCTCGTTTGCAAAAGCTTCTCCACCGGAACAATCCTCCAGGCAAGCTGGCCTACAGTTCCCATCCTCCCCAGCCAGCCTGCCAGGTGGGCTCATTGAGAGGGAAATGAAGAAGGCATCTGAGCTGCCAGAAGCCGGCAACCCCCCGGCCAGTCTGAGCATCTGAGACGTTCTGGCCACTCCACATTTGCAGCCCCCAGGCCAGGGCCGTGAACTGCCGAAATCAGAGACAGGATCTTGTGGTGGGGGGAGCGAGGCCCGTCCCTTGCGCCCCGGGCTGTGCTGCGTGGTCTCTTTTACGACCCACCGACCCACCGGGCAGCGGCTGCAGAGTGACGGCCCAGCGGTGCCGAGTGCTGGGACGGGGCCCAAGCCACAGCCGTTCTCTGCGGAGAGCCGGCCCACCGGCAGGGCCTGGCAGGGTTTGGGCACAAGCCCCAGAGGGAGGGGGCCACACCGTGCCAGCCCGACCAAGAGGCGGTGGGTGGTCTTTGCAGAAGGGCTTCCCCAGAAGGCCGGGGGCAATTCCGGGCATCTGGATTCTTCGGCACCGAAGGGAGCAGGGGGAACAGAGCCTCTGGACAGAGACGCAGGCCGGTTACGGCGGCCTCCTCCCCACCTGCAGCCGGCCAGAAAACTGCTGCGGGGGCGCCGGTGGGGGGAGCATTTCCTGCGCCCAGTGGGGGCAGTCCTTGAACCCGGCCCCTCGCGGCAGGCCTGGGATAGTGCAGGGGGCGGCACGGGTGGCCTCAGGACAAGGCCAGGCGTGGCTCGTCTCCTGGCACGGCCGCTGCGAGGGGCCCAGCGCACGGCCCGGGCACCGGCAGGGACGGGGCTCTGTCACCCGGCCGCCCCACAGTGGCCGTGGCCGGGCAGGGATGCTGGGGGCTGTGGTCCAGCCCGGCCGGGGAAAGCTGCCACTGCCACAGTGGGCGGGAGAGGGGAGAGGCCTCGGCCCAGCAAACCAGGACGGGTCGGGAAGCACCGGGACAGAGGGGCCTGCTGCGGATCCCCCCCTTGAGTGCCCCAGAAGCACGTGCCTTTTTGGCCTGTGTGGGCGGCATGTGCCAGGAGCAACTGGGCGCTCAGATCTCACAGCACAACGGCTATTCGGGCACCGAGTTTCCAAAGGGGACACAAGCGATGCGCCTCCCCGAGCCAGTTCCGGCTCCCCCTCTCTGGCCGCAGCTCTGTGCCTATGGGGGATACGGGGACAGCCGTGCCAGAGCCAGAGACTCCCGGGGGTCCAGCCACTGGGCCAGCCACCCTCCCAGAACAAGCCCGCGCTCGCTCTCTCCGGCAAGCAGTCCGCTGAGCGGGCGCCCCGGAGCCGCGGGGATGCACGGACCTCCACGGCTCCTCCGGTGGCCCCTTCTCAGGGCCAGTCCTGGCGGTCTGGCCCAGCCCTGCCCAGGAAGCCCCCTGCCTCGACCGGGCCCCCCCTGCCCCTCCGCACGAGGTGCTCTCTTGCTCCCCACGCGGTCAGCTGGAGCACGCCCGCTCTCTGGATGCCCGTCTTCGGGAGCCTGGAGAGGGGGCTGCACAGGAGAGACCCCTCTGCCGCTTGCGCCTGCGGGACACGCACCGCGGGGGCTCTTACCCAAAGCCGCCAGCACCACCACCGCCAGCACGAGCACGGCGACGAAGGCGTACAGCACCTTCACGGAGGCCTGGAGCGTGAGGGCCTTCTCGCACTGGCTGCAGCCGCTCCTTGCCCGGCCTGTGGGAGGAAGCGGCCGAGGAGCCCAGTTAATGGGAGGGCTGAGTGCCTGGGAGGGACGGGCTGGAAGGACAGTTCGCCCGGACGGCGTTCCCGTTGCGCAGAGCCCTCTAATGATCTCGGATGGTGCCGTGCGGAGGAAAACGCTTTCTGTGCATGCTCAGGGGCCCTTTTTAGAAGCCCCAGCCCTGAGTGCAGGGTTGGAGAGCGGAGCAGGGCTGTGGCGAGCAGGACCGTCATTCGAGGACCTCGCTCCCGGGGTCGGGGGGCCTGATGAGGTTCCCTCCAGGGAAGGGCCTGGCCTGGGAGGAGAGTCTGGGGCTTTCAGCATCACATCCTTGGTGTGAGCAAGAAGAGCAACTGTGCTTCTGTGCTCTGGAAAATTTCGGAAAGGCCCTCTGCTCGAGGAGGCGCGGGGTCAACCACAGGATGAGCAGGGTGCTCCCACAGTGGGTGACCCCTCGCAGGGGCACCGGCCTCTTTCGCTTGAATTCCTTCGCAGTGCTTTTAAAGCAACTCTGCGCGACAGAAAAGTCTCCCGGAGCATCAGACTGCCTTGCGCTCGTGACCTGTGCGCGGGGCTGCCACCCGAACGCTCAACAGTCTCCGCGCGAAACGCCCCCCTTCCCCAGGCGCACGACCCCTCGGCCCACTCTGCACACCGAGGGCGCTGTGGCGGGAGCCGTGGGAGTGGCGCCAGAGGCCGGGTGCAGGAAGGGGCGCGCACGGGGCATCCGTTTGGGTCCTGCCCCTTTGCAACACCACCGCGAGCCCAAGCAAGAGGGCTTTTCCCAAGAAGAGCCTTGGGAATTCCCTCATTTGCAACTGTGCCCGGAAATGCCTTTCTTTCTTTCTTCCTTCCTTCCTTCCTTCCTTCCTTCCTTCCTTCCTTCCTTCCTTCCTTCCTTCCTTCCTTCCTTCCTTTCTCTTTCTTGGGGATCTTTGAACTGTCCCTTTCCCCGAACTGCAGGCACGTCCGTGCTCAGTGGATGGAGGGGAAGGGCGCACTTTGGAAAACGGCCCACGAAAGCCGAGCAACAGGCCGGCAACGAAAACGAGCACGGAAGCGCTTTCCCGGGAACCTGGCGGGCTGAACCGAGCCGAGCCAGGCCAAGATCCCGTGGGGCTTGCCGGGGACGGGCTGAGCCGGAGCGCCATGCACGCTACTGCCCCCGGGGGGGGGGCGGGGGGCGGGGGGAAGCCGCTGCGCTGCGCTCACCGCTTGGCCTGTAGCGGAAGGACGGCATCTCCTCGCCTTCCCCGGTGAGGTCTTCCTCTGAAACGCAAAGACGAAGCAGGTGGTCGGAAGCGGTTCGCACGGGTGCGCATGGAGCGAGGCAGGCGGCCCACGCCCTGCCCGAGCCCGACTCACCCCTCGGAGGGGCCCCGGTCGTGCACCCCGCTTTCCGGAAGGAGCAAGCAGGGCGCGGGCCGAGCGAGGTCTCTGGAGGCACCCCGGCCTGCCTTCCAGGGTCAAAGGAGACGGACGTCAGCCCAGCAAGAGGGAGGGGAACGGTGGCTCTCCTCGCCAGCGGTTTTCAGGCAGGGGCGGGTGGCCCCGCTTGGAAGGGCAGTCCTGGAGTTGCATTCTGGCGCGTGGGGCTCAGCGCCCGTCCTGAAGCAGCTGGCCAGAAAGGGAGTCCAACTGTAGCTCGGAGCGACCCTCTTCCGGCCGTGAGGGGAAGGGGCAATGCGAGGGGGTGGGGTGGGGTGGCACGGGCTCGGCGAGCGGGGGCAGCGAGGCCACGGGCCTCGGTCCTGCGGGTGCCGGGGGGCGGCTTGGGTTGGCAACAGAGACACTCGCGAGCCAGCAGGGGCCGAACTGGGCAGCCCTGTCGCCGCCGCCGCTTCCCCAGCTTGGTGGGCTCCCGGTGAGCAGCCGCAGTCCTGACTGGGGAAGGTTGGGGAAGGGCCGCGAACGCACCCACGGCACCCCAGAACAGCTTCCCGGTGCCAGAACAGTCCTCAGTCTGGACGTGAGTGAGCCCTTCCAGGCAGAGCTGGAGGGGCCCCGATCCGCCCTGGAAGCCAAACCCTGCCTCTGGCTCCACTTGGCTGGGCTCCTCAGCCCGGTCGGGGGCTCCTTCGTTTCCAAGCCTTCTCTTCTGCGTACCTTGAAGCACTGTGCTACTAGGTCTGTCTGTTTCGACTGACTCATTTTGGCCGTCTAGCCCCGATTCTGTATGCTCTGCTCCCGGTGAGTAGGGCGCCCCGTGGCTGCTGTTCCCCCCGCTGTTGGGGCAACGTAATGGCCTGAGTTGCCCACGAGGGCAAGGATATGGCAGCCGCTCCTGGGGGAGGTGGGGGTGGCTGCACTGGCCACAGCACAGCCGGCGTTACACGAGAGCAAGCGCTCTCGCCCACCTGCCAGAGGGGCTGCCTCGGAGCCCGCGGAGCTGTGCGCTCAGGGCCTGGTGGGGGCAGACGAGGCCACGCTCCGTCGCACGCGGACCGGGCAGCCAGACCGCTCAGGGGGGCTTCCGGCTCACGGGGCGGGTTCAGAATCCAGGGAGAAACCGCACGGGGGGCCGTGGGTTGCCGGGCTGCCGGCTGGCACTTCCACGAGCGCCCGCTGCTGGAAGCCGGTGCCTCGCGCCGCTTGCCAGCTGGGGTGGTGGGACTCGCATCGCAGGGCACACGACAGCAGCCGATGTGCGAGCCAGAGTGGCCCGTGGGTTTGTGCCCTGGCCTGGGGAGCTGCACCCCCCTTCTGGCCCCACTGGGCCGTGGAGCTCACGGGGGCCTCTGGGCTAGTCTTGGCCTCTCAGCCCGGCCTCCCTCGCTGGGCTGTCGCGGTGAGGATGAGGCGCGGCTGCGTAAGCCCTCCGGGGTTCTCACAAGAAGCAAAAGGGCAGGATAGAGAAGCGATAATAAAAACAGGAGATCAAGCGGGGCGGGGGGGGGGGCTACTTTTTTTCCTGTCGGGCTGATCCTTCTCTGCATGTCCACTTGTGCTTTCCGTCTCCAGGAGCTGCGGCTGCCCCCGTCCTCCGGAGGCTGCCGGCCAGCTGCTTCGGGACGCGGAGGGCGGCCACGCGGGGGGACGAGGCTTTGGGCCGGGAGCGGTCCTTCCCGGCCGGCTTCCTTCTGCGCGAGGCATCCCCCCATTTGCTGAACAGGGGGGCGTTTCTGTGCCAGCCACACGCGTGCCACGCTGGTGCGGGAAGCGCCCCGTCGGGAGGGCCCTCTGGCACATGGAGGAAGGGGCGACTCGGCCGTGCGCCACGACACGGAAGTGGCAAGAGGGGGGCTTGCAACATGGCCGCGCGTCGCCCGACCACTCCATGCGCTGCGGGGGGAGTGCAGACCTGCCGGCACAGCCTTCCCGCGCGCCGCTTTCCCCGCGCAGGCCGAGCCCATCCGTCGCCCCGGCCCACCAGCGCCCCTCCGCCTCAGCTCACCCCAGCCAGGACAAAGGCCCGTGTGTTCCTGGAGCCGCAGAACCACCCCGTCCCGAGCAGGCACGTGGGGCGCTGAGGCGCAGGGGCCCGGGGACGCCTGCCAAGCGGGGGCGGCAGCCGGCCTTCCCAGGCCTTCCTGCTGAGCAGGCGCCCGCAAGCACCGGGGCGGGGGGAGGGCGCTTTGGAGAGGGAGCTGCCCGCTGGCCCCTGCCCGTGGTGCTCGGCGCCTGCATCACTCATCGGAGGGACAGCTGTCTAGCTGGGATCCTGCAACAACCCTGCAAGGTAGGCCAGTCATTAGTACGCCGCAGATGAAAGAACGGACGGAGGCCTGAAGTGAGAGAGCACCTGCCTCGGTGGGGGGGGGGCAGGCTCAGCCCGGCCACGCTCCGGCCGCTCCCTTGGCGGGCCGACTGCAGGGGCCTGGCCGGGACCAGCACGACTCACACCTGGGTTGGCGGGACATGTGCCCTCTGGATCTCGCCCGGTTCCCCGGCAGGGCGCGCTGCGAGGTCACGGGGAGCAAGCCAAGCGACGCTGGCAGGGCAGGGCAGGGCAGGGCAGGGCAGGGCAGGGCAGGCAGGCTGGGCTAGCGGAGCATCTTGCTCTCCTGCCGGCGCTTGGATGGCGCTTGTGCAAGACCTCCAGGGGGAACCGCAGCAGGGGGGCTCGCAAGGGGGAAGCACCGCCCGGCGCGGCAGCAGAACGGGGCGCGGCGCTCGCCGAGCCCCGGGAGCGGAGGGGGCGTCCGCGGCCAGACGCCGCCCCCGCGCCCCGTCCGTGCCTCCGGCTGCGGGCGGGTGGATGGGCAGGCGTGCTGCCGCCAGCTGGGCCCCGGGAAGGGTCGGGCCGCCGTGCCTGCCCTTGCCCCGCGGGGTGGCTGCCCGCCCGGGCCGGCATCGCCCGGGCCCCGCGGGGCCGCCCCTGATCAGCCCTCGCTCGCGCGCGCCCCTCGCCCCGGCCGGAGGGGTGCGCCCCCTCGTCCCCCGGGGGGCCGGAGCCAGCGGCGTGCCCAGGGTCCCGCTACCGGGGAGGCCTGGCCCCCCCTTCCCGCGGCGCTCCCGAGCCCCCCCGCGAGGAAAGGCGTCGCTCCGCCTCCCCCGCTCTCCTGCCCGCCAGCCATTAAACGTTCCTATATGAGGCCTCACGTATGATGGCGATCGACCGCGAGGCGGCGCTGCTCCAGAGCGCAGTGGCTTCTCCTTTCCTCGAAGGTGTCGTTCCAGTTGGTTCTGGCGTGGAATTTAATACTGCGCTTTCCTCAGTCTGCCCCCACCCCACGCCCACAACAACAGCAGAGCCTGGAAGGGGATGATGTCCCAGAGCTCAGCGGGGAGGGGCCCCGGGCGCAATAAATGCCCCCCGCCTGCTTCGCAGGCTGCAGGGGCCCCCTGCGCGCTGTTTCCCTGCGCGCCGAGCCTGGCGAGGCCCCGCGTGGGAGGAGGAACGAGCAGGAAGCACGGTGAGCTCTGCCCGGGCCCAGGCAGGTGAGGAACGGCTCCGGGCAGCGCTGACGGCTGGCTTCTGCTTGCCTTCCCATTGCCCAGCATGCCCCGAGTGATGCTTGGGCAGGAGCATTCTGGGGGACCAGGTGCCCCCCCACCCACCACTGCTCGGAGCAGCCTCCTGCAGCCCGGCTCCTGCCAGATGTGTTGGCCTGCAGCACATCTGGGGGCCCCTCCCTGGGGAAGGCTGGTGGCGCATGCTCTGTCAAAAATGACGGGGCACAGGGAGGCGCACCCCCGGGGCCCTCTCGGCCCACGGTTCCTCTGCACATCCCGCCCAGCCCCGCAAACAGCATGCAGAAGCCGGCAGCCCCACACCGGACGGTGCGAGGGGGCTCCGGTCTCCCCTCGCCTGCCGGGGGGCCCTCCTGCAGGCCGACAGCTGCCCAGGAGCAGCCATGCAAGGAGCCGGGCCTGTGCGGTGGTTCCCTTCCCTTACCGCGAGGGCCGGGCGGGCCCCAGATGGCCTCCGAGGCGGGAGAAGCGGCACCGGCCCTCCTCCTCTCCTTGGGTCCCCCTGCGGCGGAGGACGCAGCCCTCGGAAGGGGGAATTCGCTCCCGCAACGCCCACCTTGCAGTGGGGTCCCGGACAGGGCAGCCCCCGTGTCTGCGGGGCCGTGGGGCGGCGGGGTGGCAAGATCCCCATGTCGTTCCACTGGGACAAGCTGCCCCAGGAAAGGAGATCCGCCTGCTGGAGTTGTAAGGTTCTCCAGCAGGAGCGCCTCTGGAATGATAGGCCCCTCTGTGCCTGTGCCACATGGGCTGTACTGCCAGAGGCTGATGGGGGCCGGAGTCCCGCTGCTCTGCCCATAGCTATCCCAGCAGCCTGAGCAGAAGGGGGGAGGGGGGAGGGGCCGTTCGGCCAGCCCCTCTTCCCTCACCGTTCCTTCTTCTTTGGGTGCCATGTACTTTCAGATTATCATCCTGCGGTTGGAGCCTGTCTCGTTCAATTTATTGTAAGCCTTTTCGCCTGAGGAGCAGCATAAAAATACTGCAGATGAATACATGATCAAAGAAGCATATGGGAGCCCCCTCCCCGCTCCCCCAGTCGGCACCCTTGTTCCCAAACATCAGCGTTTTTCCAAGCTAAAATTAGATGCAGGCTTCCCTCGTATGCCCACAGAATCCACATTCGGGAAGAGCAGGGATTGTCTGCCTGGAGGAGCCCTCTGTGGGGTCAGGAGCATCCACGGCTCCCATCCACTCCCATGGGACTTGTGCAAGAGCACTTCCCAGCCAGCTGTCTCTTCACCCTCAGGTGCCGAGAGATAGAGCCGGTCCTGACCCTTTTTCAGTTCTGCCAGGCTTTCCAGGGCCGTCCAGGCCTCATCTGACACCGAATTCGGGCTATTTGTTTGTTCAAGCTTCCCGATGTCAGAGGAAGTCCAGCTACTCCAGCCCAGCGGGAATCAGAAGCTCGCTTGCTGCCTTCTGCAATGGCCAGGCAGGACCCACTATTACCAGATCCTAACCTGAAGTTTACAAAATTAAGATAAATAAGGTTTGCATCCGGCACCGCCTGCTGCTGCGAGCTAAAATTACCCACCGCTGCCTTTCCAAATTGGAGGTTTGCTCCTTTCGGCGCCTTCCTTCGAAGTCCTCGGCTCACCTTAACTACAGAGCCGTCCGCTTCGCAGTCCGAGAGTCGCTCAGGAAGGCCACCCCACCGCCGGAGCCGTGGGGCTCTGCCCCGGAGCGTTTCTTCCCATCCGTTGCAAACTAAGCAAAAGCAGGGGCCCTGGCACAGCCCGCGCGCACGGGTCATGCGGTGCTGCCGTAGAAAAGGACTGGCGGCCGAGCGCCCCACGCCAGACGCGCCCCCTTTCCTTTCCCTTCAGGATGCAACGTTCAAAACCGCCCAGCTCCCAGCACTGTCCTCCGGGGGCCCCGGGTTGAAACCCTGCCCTTGCCGGGGCCTCGCTGGGCGGCACTGGACGAGCACCTTCCGGTCCCTCCGACAAACGGGCTGCCCGGTGCCTGACGGAAGGAAGGAAGGAGCGCCGCCGCAGCCCGGGGGGCGACAGCCCTTCCTGGCGGGCGGCAGCGGGCAAGGCTGTGCCCGGCGCGCCTTGGCTTCCCCCGCGCCCCTCCCCGGCCCTTCCCCGGGCAGGGGGCTCACCTCGCCTCCGCCTCCTGCCTGTCCGCCCGTCGTGCGGGCTGCTTCCCGAGACCCGAGCGTGCAACGAGCGGATGCAGGCGGCGCTAGGCCTCGAAGAGACGCCGCAAGGTGGCCCGATGGCTCTTATCGGGAGGGTGGCCCTGGGCCGGCCGCGCCGCCTCCCCACATGCCCCCAGGGGCGCGGGGGGCGGCGCAGCGGAACGTCGCGGCTCGGGGAAAGCGCCAGGCGCCCCCCTCCCCGCAGCGCCCCCGCGGAAGCCGGCAGGGCGGACCGCGCGGCCCCGGACGGCCCCCCGGGCCGGGGGCCGGCGCTTGCGCCTCCCCGGCGGCGGCGGCGGAGCGCCCACACTCACCCCCTCGACGGCCC